TCTGTGAGTGTGTGTGTGCGTGAGAGAGTGTGTGTGTGTGTGTGTGTGTGTGTGTGTGTGTGAGAGTGTGAATGTGTCTGTGTGAGTGTGAGTGTGAGTGTGAGTGAGTGTGAATGTGTCTGTGTGAGTGTGAGTGCGAGTGAGTGAGTGAGTATGAGAGAGAGACTGACCCCTCGCTGTCCAGAACATCTTTAATGCTGGCTTTAGTGATAATGGCATCATCACATTTAAACCACTGGTCCTTGTGCTGGCGGATGAACGTGGTGTAGTGGCCGCTCTCCAGCGTGCCCTGATGATTGACCACCGCGAACAGAGAATACCTGCAGCAGACACACAGACGCGTCACAGGACCAATCATCACGCCGGATCACACTGAACGCAGCAGACGCTCACTCACTTGTTTTCGTTGTTCAGCGAGTCGACAGGCTGCTGGTACTGTCCGTTCATCCGGCTCTCTTTACTGGGACACAAACAGGACAGACGTCAGGACATTCTCTTACTGTGAGCTAGAGATGTAATGGTATGAAAATTTGGTAACACTTTAGAATAGGGAACACTTATTCACAATTAACTACGACTTTTCCCTCAATAAACTCCTAATTTGCTGCTTATTAATAGTTAGTAAGGTAGTTAAGTTTAGGTATTGAGTAGGATTCGGGATGTAGAATAAGGCATTAATATGTGCTTAATTAGTACTAATAAATGGCTAATATTCTAGTAATATGCATGCAAATAAGCGACTAGTTAAGAGACCCTAAAATAAAGTGTTACCGAAAATTTCTTATCACGATTATAGTGACCTAAATTATCAGTAGGGCTGCAAAATGATTAGTCGTGATTAATCGATTCAAAATAAAAGTTTGTTTACATAATATATGTGTGTGTGTAATGTGTATATTTATTATGTATAAAAAAAAAAAATTATAATGATAATATAAATACACACCCATTCATGTATATATTAAGGAAAAATATGTTAGATTTATATGCAAAATATTTATACTTATATATAATATCAATTATATATAAGTGTTTACATAAAATACATAAAACACATACATTTTTAAAAAATATATACGTGTCTGCATTTATACATAATAAATGTAGACAGTACACACACACACACACACACACACACACACACACACACACACAGTATGTAAACAAAGTTAAGTTAGTATGCAAACTTTTATTTTGAATCGATTAATCGCGACTAATCGTTTTACGGTACGGTATTATTAAAATGTGCTGAAAATGTTGAAAAGTACTGACACAAATCATTTCACCAAGTTTTGTATTTAAAATTAGGGCTGTGCAATTAATCGAAATTCAGTTTTGATTTTGACCTCCAACGATTATGAAAATACAATTATCGAGATAAAACGATTATTCCACCCCCTTTCCAGCAGACTTTCGCTCCTCCATAAAAGCCCATTTTCACGTGTAAATCAGTAAAATCATGTAACGTGACTTTTGCAAATTGGGACGTGCTTGAGTTCTAAAGTTGATTAGATTTATTAATGTTTTTAAAAGCGCGAAAGAGAACTTGCGCTGTTCCTCAAGAGGATTTCTGTGCATGGGCTCAGATACATGTAAAGTCATCTTTTAGCGCCTAAACGGTCAAATACACGCAAAAATGTGTCAAAATGCGGCGATTATTCACATAAACCCTCGTCGGTTATGTAATAAATGAATGTAAACAGATGAGAATGAAAATACATGAGTAACAGTAAATTGAATCGATGCGGCTCTTAAAGTGACAGCAGCTATATTCCTGCTGCGACTGTGCACTTAATATTAATCAAACAACAAAAGACAAAAACAAAACCACTCACTGCTCTTCACAGAAGGACTTTTGTAGCTTTAATAAGAAATAAAGCAAGTTTAATTCTTACAGTGAAGACTATGCTGTTTTATTTTACATTTGATTATTTAATTTCTATAGCAGGCTGTTAGCTGCATACTTGAGACTTGCATAAAAAAAAACAAAAAGGTTATATGGCCCACTAATAATTGTGTTATATAATCGTGATTACAATATTGAACAAAATAATCGTGATTATGATTTTTGTCATACTTTTAGATACTTTATCTGAATTGTTCTAATGTGTAGAATCCACATAAGTTTGTTTTTCATCAACCGGTCAAAATGTACAGCAGGGCATGCAAATTCAGTCTATTTTATGTCCAGACAAATGTGAACGTAACTCTCTGTAAATCCAGTCTCTGACAGCAGGTGGCGCTTCTGGAGCAGCAGAACTACAGCGGTTTCTCATAACCTCAGCGTTGCGATTAAAACACAACTTTATTAAGGATCACATGGAGCGAAGATGAAAACCAAATGCCATTTAATCTTTTCTGAAGACAGTCGGAACCTTCAGAGGTACATCTATATAATTAATTCATTCGTTAGCACTCTTTTAAAACCTCCCAGCTTTTCCGCCGTGTTTTCACACAAAACTAAATGACTCCGCTGCTGTGCGCAAGTGAGACTGTTACTGAAAACTCTGCTTTATGCTGGACAGTGTTTATTTATCTTCAGCTGTTCAAATCACGGTAATCGAATACGGTTTTAATGATAATCCCTACAGTAAGCACAGTGAAGGCTCGTACCTGGAGGCCATGAAGGGCGTCATGTCCAGCTCTAGAGGAAAGGACACATAGGTGGTGATCTTCCGCCGGAGCTTCGCCGAATGCTCGAACCGCTGGACAGGAGAAACCAGAGCAATCACACACAGAACTGTGAGTGTAAAGAAACACAGAAGCAGAAGGAAGCGCACAGACCTTCTGACGCGTCTGATCTACACTCTGCTGATGGAAATATTTCAACTATCTTTGAAAAATATTCAATGTTTTGTCAGATCTTGGCCAGACTGTACAGATGCACCAATATAAAAACACTGTCTGATGATGACTATATAGCTGATAATTATTCTAATATTATGGCCAATACCAATAAATGTATAATAATAATAATAATTATGACAATAATATTTATTTGTTTATTTATGATGTAACACCAGATCAGCAGCAATGGCTTTATTCAAGGCAAAATTAACAGTATTTAAATTTTTGCTATTATTACTTTTATTAATACAAAAAAAAAATCAAACAAGAAATGTCTATTGAACTTGACGTTCCATACTACTCTGGGTAAAACAATAAATAATAAATTAATATGTTTTTACAGTAGTAGTAGTAGCAGCAATGATAATACAAATAATAATAATAATAATAAAAACCTAAAATAAATTTGTGAAAATTAAGTCTGACATCAAAACCAATTACTGAGTAATTTTGCTTTAAACAGAATTTTAATACTTCTAAACACTCCTCATTTAATATTTAATAATAATAATAATAATAATAATACCAACATTAAAGAATTAATGTTTAATTATAAATAAATGATGCATAGAAATATAACAATTTTATACTAATGTGTATAAAATAAAAATAATAAAATAAGCTATTGATACAGTAATAATATTAAAAGTAATAATAAAATAATAATAATAATCTAAAAGAAATTTGTGAAAAGTGAATTCTGGCATCAAAACCAATTACTGAGTAATTTTGTTTTAAATACTACACAATAGTACAGAATTTTTATATTTCTTAACAATCATTTAATACTTAATAAAAATAATAATATTTTTGGCAACATTTAATAATTAATATAAAATTATAATTAACTGATGTATAGAAATATTAAAATTCTATACTAATGTGAATAGTAATACAATATTACTATATATTACTAAATAAATAATAAAATATTACAGTAATAATAATAATAAATTTTTTTTTTGGAAAAGTGAATTATGAAATAAAACTAATTACTGTGTATAATTGTTTTTACATAGTACTCAGTATTATAGAATTGTGATATTTCTATACATTTATCATTTAATATTAATATATTAATATTATTTGAATAATATGAATAAAGATTACAATTTAATAATATTAATAACAGTAGTTATAATATTTACCATTCTTGTTATCATCATAAACTTGTATAATTACACTTGTGAAAATAATAATATTAACAGTGAATTCTGGATTCAAAACAATGCACAGTATTAAAATAACCATTCATTTTTATATTTGCTAAAAACTACATTTAACATGCAAAGATTATCTAAACATAAGAAAACAAAGGAGAAATAAGCATGCACAATTATAAGTACATATGATATTGCTCAGTATATAAAAATGATAACCAAAATTTTTATCAGATACCATTTAAATTATCAATAATATTGACTTTTAACTGATATGTCATGTATCCCTACTTCAAAGTGGCTCATATGCAATGCACTTGGATGTGTAACACGGACTGTAATGCATGCACACTCACTTTGAGGTGGAAACATGCCACGATAGGAAGCCTCTTCATCGTCAGCTGCTTGGTTGACTCCTGGTAACTATGGCAACCGCTGCATTTGATCTTGGCGCTACTTCCTAAGTGTTCGGGTCGAGTGAACCTGCGATGCAGAAGCGTGAGTCAGTGGCGATCGCAGACATGGACACGGCTGTCTGTACGGCTGCAGGTGCATCTGTACCTGCGTAAGCAGTCTGTGAGCGTGGTGGCTCCGCTCGGGTGACTGTCTCCGTTCACCACACTGCCATCGCTGCCTGGGCTGAGCGGCCAGAACGGGGTGGATGACCCCGGCAGATCCAGGCTGATGTCCCAGAACGGGTCTATCGTTGTGGAAACCCCACTGCGGACGAGAAAACACCAAATGTGACCCTGGAGCACAAAACCAGTCATAAGGGTCAATTTTTTTAAATTGAGATTTATGCATCATCTGAAAGCTGAATAAATAAGCTTTCCATTGATGTATGGTTTGTTATGATAGGACAATATTTGGCTGAGATACAACTATTTGAAAATCTGGAATCTGAGGGTGCAAAAAAATCAAAATATTGAGAAAATCATCTTTAAAGTTGTCCAAATGAAGTTCTTAGCAATGCATATTACTAATCAAAAATTAAGTTTTGATATATTTACGGTAGGAAATTTACAAAATATCTTCATGGAACATGATCTTTACGTAATATCCTAATGATTTTTGGCATAAAAGAAAAATCTATAATTTTGACCCATACAATGTATTGTTGGCTATTGCTAGAAATCTACCTGTGCTGCTTATTTTTTAAGAGTTTTCTACATGCATTAAAAGCTGGACAGTCCAATAAAATATGGGAATCTTGCAAAACACACTGAGTAGGGTCTTCACTTATGACTGGTTTTGTGCTCACAAATAATCAGCAAAAAGAGCAGCGCTTCCATCTGCTTGTCAGTCTTGTACTGCACAGCCTTAAAAAAAACACGAATTAATTAGGTGGAAGTCATTAAAACTCTACTTGATAGAAGCAGCAGCACTTAAATAATCAAGACGCAGCAGGAACTGAATGGACGGAGTGCAATACCTCTGTTAAACACAGGGTGGCGCTGAGGAGCATCAATGACCTGTGCATTTCACACAGGATCTGAACACTCCAGAATATTCAATGGCATTCAAACTGGGTTACATATACAACACAGGATACAGACACTGGCTCTGTTCCAAAACCTAGTGAGCTGCCTACCTAAGGAGCATTATAAGGCAACACAGATTTGATGACGGTTTCAAAAAGTAGGAAGGATAATTATGCAGCCTACCAAGATACCACATGTGGACCTCAAAATGAAATGCTGATTGCATACTTAATTTATTCAATACCAAAAAGTACTGATAAATTAAAATGAATATTAATCAAATATAATTTTTTTTACAAGTATCTATTTTCTATTATTAAATATTTTAGCCAATATTTTCTGCGAAAAAAGTACTGATAAAATTCCAATAAATAACATATTTAAATACTGTTTAAAATATTTTAATGGACAATAAATGTTTTTTTTATATTATATTTGTGTGCAAAAACGTACCGAGAAAAAATTCTAATAAATTAAATATTAAAATTTTGTGTAAAATACTTAATTAGATAAATATTATTTATTTATTGTGTGTGTGCAAAAAAGTACTGATAAAAATTCCAATAAATTACATATTTAATATTTAAATACGGTCTAAACTATTTTAATGGACAATAAATGCTTCTTTTTTTTATTATATTTGTGTGCAAAAAAAGTACTGATAAAAAATGCAAAAACATTAAATATAATATAATAATATATAATAAAAAAATAAATATAATAATTTTCTAATTAAATAGTTTCCCAATATTTTTTGTGCAAAAAAGTACTGAGTACTTTAAAGTACTTAAAATTTTGTGTAAAATAAATATTTTTATTTATTTTGTGTGTGTGCAAAAAATTACTGATAAAAATTTGAATAAATTAAATATTTAAACACTGTGTAAAATTAATTAAATAAAATATTTTTCTTATATTTGTGTGTGCAAAAAGCACTGATAAAATGTGAATGACAGAAGTTTTTATTTTTGGGTGAACTGTCCCTTAAAAAAAATACCGTATTCACAAACAAACTAGCAGAATAACACAACACAAATTCAATGCATCCATTTAAGCGAGAACAGATGCATGAAGGATTGATACGGATATAGGCTCTGCTCGATTCATCTGCGCTGCGTCGGCTCTTACTGGCAGACTTGGCAGGTGACGTCAGACTGCAGGCCTCCCGTGAAGATTTGGTCAATGATGCAGCTGCAGTGGTTTGGGTTGTTGGCTTTTTTCCCATTGTCATCTCCTTAGTGGACATGGAAGCAGCATATGAACACACACACACACACACACAGAGAGAGAAAGAGAAGGTCTGATTAGAAAGCAGCGCTCGGTTTGCTGCAGAAACACCCCTCCCTTCACTTTCACACTGCAGGAGGAAGAATGAGGTCCGTCTCTTCTTCTCCAGAGCGTCTGATTCTTTCACTCTCTGACTTGGACTTCACTGCGTCAGGACATGCGCACCATCAATGTTTAAAGTTTTTCACAGGAAATGTTTCATCCTACAGAGTCACGAATCTACGAATGAACAGCTCTTACAGGAGAACCGCTGACATGCTATTACAGCGCTGCAAGTCTTCTTTACCAGGCCCGGCTCCAGAATCAAATCACTGAGGGTGCTTCTTAAATTAGTGAGGGTGCTCTACATATACATATACACACACACTCACATATATACAGTATATGTATACACACACACACACACACACACACACACACACACACACACACACACACATATATATATACACACACACACACACACACACACACACACACACACACACACACACACAAACACA